TGTCCGGGTCGCCCGTTTAGCCAGGGAGGACTCATCAGAACAGGAGCTTGTCTTTGAGGGTCTTCTCGTCGCTGGGTTTAATCAAGCAATGTCGCGAATTTGGTCCGGATCCAACCGGGGGCCCCTCACAGGGGCCTCTTTTTGCCGGCGCCCGCCACCGGAGGCCCGCGGTTAGCACGCGCGGCGCACAGGAAGACAGCGAGCGGCTCCCAGACACAAGCCCTCCCCTTTGCTCCCATGTTTGTAAGCGCCATATCGCCTGGCCGGAGATGCTTTGAAAGCCTTCAAATTGCGAGGCGCCCCCTGTTCCACCCTCCCCATTTCCTCCGCCTTTTCTCTCAGGGGGGGAAATGTAAGCGTGCGAGAGTGGAAATGTTGCCGCGTGCGCGACGGGAAGCGGACGCGCGAAGAAAGCAAAACTATTTGCGGAACAATGAGGCCTTTTAGAGAGGGGGAGGGGGGGGTATCACGGTGCCTTTTTTCGGGGGTACCGTGTCTCGTCACTGGGGTGATACCCTTGACGCGTGACAGCCTCGCAGTCTGTTGATCAACTCTTTGAGCGCCACAAAGTTGTTGCACAGCTTGCTTCGGTCTTCTCCGTCAATGGCTCGACACCGGTACGCAAGGTCGCCAAGCGTCCAGCTGCAAGACTCTCTTGTCTCCTTGTCTTTCGATTAAACATCCTGTCTCTGATGAATTGTCACTCTCCGTCGGTGTGACACACCCTCTCATTGGCCTCGGCCAATCATCTGCTTCCAGTTGTCAACAGCTGCCACCCGAGCCTCTTTGCCGGAATTTTTCCTTTTTTTTTTTTTCTTTTCTCCTTGTCTGTGACCCAACACACACGCACTTGTTCACTTGCAACAGGCGTCCGCGTCCACCGCGCCATCGCGCCACATGTGCGAGTCGGGGGCCCGAGGGGAACGGAACCCGCCCACCCTCAGCCGGAGTTACATAACCCGAGTCCAGACGCCGGCCTGATCGACGTCGGGGTCTCTCGCAGACACGCCAAACGTGGCTTTGTGCCTGCTTTGGAGCGCGTCGAATCCCATCGTTCGAGCGAACAAGGCCTTGCTTCAGTGTTCAACAGCGGGGCGGTGATGTCACACGCATATGTCGCTTGATGACTTCATCCCAGCTTGACCCCCACAAAGAAACGATGCATTTCGGTTCGGATGTCCGCCTTTTCAGAATGTTTTCGTGCTTGCTCGCAGTAGCTCTTGGAACAAAAAGGTTCCAATCATATACGTTTCTCCAAAGGCTCCAATTGGTTTAGCACTGCAGAACCCTCTCCAAAGATTCTCGGACCTCTGCAGGGGCTTTTGGGCTACCTGACTTTCGAAAAGAATTCAGGCGGAACGCGCTTGACATATTTCCACCTCAAATTCCTGCACCGTTTCATTCTTGCTACTCGTCGTTCCCGTTGAGGTTGTTTCCGTCACTGCGCTCATTGTGCAGCGCAGTCGTCAATGCCTTTGAAAGGAGAGAAGCGCTTTGCGGCCAACGTGCGCTCTTGCCCCTGCTTCCCCGCTATCAACGGCGCACTGGAGAATGCGTGGCGGAGAAAGCGCCCAGGAGTGAGCCACGCAAGCTGCTGGATGTCACGCTTGTATACACACTTAATGGTTGAGGTAGCGCGGGGGGGGGGGGTGACCCGGGGTCCTCGGCGCCGAGAAGAAAACCCCTCTTGTGTTCCGCAGCGCCAGACCAGCTGGCGAGAAGGCAGAGCCGGATGTTGCGATCTGTCCCTTCATTGTCCCGCTTCCAAATGTTGCCATTTGAGTTTGAATGATGACTTTGGGAATAGCCAAAACATTCCGAAGAAATAGAGTGGGAAACACCCTCTTCTCCCCCCCTGTCCATTTGTGTTCCACGGTGGCTGCCTATGTGATGAGTTAATGAGATGGAAGAAGGGGCGCTTGGACGTCTTGATAGAGGAAATGATAGCAAGTGGCCTGCTGTGCCTTTCCTGGACTTGTGCGGGAAAGCACCTTCTTCTCAACTTTTCCTGCGACACTCTCTGCCTGGAATAGCCTCGCTGGCATGTGACTGTACCCGTGGACATTTTGGTTGCTTTCATTTCACGTTTGCGAACGCTGTATAAAAGCGGGCCACCATGTGACACACACACACACAGCATCTCCTCTCGGCGTCGGCCGTCGCTCGGCAGGAGTCCTCGCCGCAGCATTCCTGCCATAGCGTCTTGGGCGCTACTGTCCCTTCCTAAGCTGTAATCAAGCAACTTGGCGCATAAAACGCTCGCCTCGTGCATCCTTTTTTGGCGCTTCCCTCTCTTTAAGGTTTTCCTTTCATCTGATTGGCCGACTTCCAGAAGCCTGCTGCGGGGAAGTTCCACTTTGACTGGCCAGTGGTGGCGTAACGTACGCTTCAACCTAGCAATTTTCCACCCCTGGGGGGGCGGTTGGGGGTAGCGATGGAGCCATAACATCGGCGGGATGGTGCTTGTGTATCAGGGGCTGCCGGAAAGGCGGGACAGAAGTTTGCGTACTCATTTCTCTGGCCGTGTTGTTTTTTTCACTTTGTGTCATAGCCACGAGTCCCAATATTTTTGTCCCGATTGTGGAGCCGGGGAGAAGTGGCATTTGCGCCGTCAAAAAGGAGAGACGTTAGACTTGCAGATTTTTTGCAAACCTTCCAAGTATACCTTCGGAAATGACCCAGTTTCACTCTCATTCGTCAGGGAGAAAAATGAACTACGGTCGAATCTCGATACACGCCTGCTTTCCCATTTGCGAAACATTTTGGCGCAGACACGCATAAGGACCGCTTGTGATTTTTCCCAATCTGCGGGACAATCATTGGCTTTGTGCATCGCGCGCACTGCAAGTAAGGTACGTCTCTCGACGGAATATTGCCTGCGACGCAAATTACAAAGTCATTGCAGAACACGAGGATGTCGTTTGCACATGCGCTGTATGCTCAAGGCCACGACGTTGGAAGTGTCATTTGCGCTTTACAATGATTAGTTGCCACGTCCTTTCTCTATGATACAATCGTTTACACAACATCGCTCATTTGTGACGTGTAAGGAATCGATAAGCGGAACCGCAAACAAAGCATTCCTCGGGATCGAAAGCGTGGGACCCAAGCGTGTCATCCCGGCCCCTCCTCCTCCTTCGTTGCATCTTGACAGTTTGAGTGCAAGGAAGCCGCTGTCGCTAAACTTTCTTCACATTTCACTTCTTGTGGGTATGATGCTGCTCTTCAAAGACTTTTTCTGCCTCTTTCCCCCGACTTTTGTTCCTGGCCTGCCCATGTGCGGGCCTCTCATAGGTTGACTGGGCTGGTATGCGACGGGAATCTTTGGATCAAGGTGATTTCACGCTCCTCCACGCTTTCCCAGCGCTCTCTGTTACCTTTGTGTGTGCCCGTGCGCACGTTATCATAACGCACGTGTCCAAACAGCTCAAAGTCTGACAAGTCTTTTTTTTAATTTTTTTTTTTTTATCCCTCCCATAAGCGTCCGCGTATAATACCCTTTTGGGTTCACATATTTTGTCGGTGTGTCCCTAAACATCACAGAAGAGGAAAGAACGACCGTCTTTACTTTGAAGTTGAGCTAATCTGGCTAACCTTGACATTCCCTTCCCATGCTCGCCTCTCATAATAGCTCCACAGTGCGTGTGTTAGTGTGTGCGTGCACGCGTGTGTGTGTTTTCAATGAAACTGCATATCTCATTCAATTCTTTGGGTGCAGGGGGAGGGGAAGCAAGCAAGCAGGAAAGTGTGTGTGGCGGGGGGGAGGATTGATGGCTTGGGGGGGGTGTGAAAAGAAGTTCAGCTGTCATTCAAGACTTCCAACATGATCGGAAGCAGCTCTGTTATGTTTTTTAATGATAAGAGACACACGTGGCCGGCATGGCAATTAAGTGCCAAACGACCACATGACATCCTATCCTGATGTAATTGTACCAGTTTTTTTTTTTCGGGGTTGACATATTTAACTGTACTTTTTGTTTTCCATTTTTCATCCGTTTACACGGTTCTACATCAAAGAATCGTTTCAGATTGTGACGAAAACACTGTGACGTGTAAGGAATCGATAAGCGATTTGATGTTGCGATTTGATGTTGCACGGATTCGGGCCTATGAGACGTGACAATAACTTCATCAGTTTAAAAAAAAAAAAAAAAAAAAAACGTCTTTACTCTGCACAACACACAGCATATTTAGCACATGAGCTAACTCTGCCGCTTCTTACATTCCTTGTGTTCACCAGTGAATTATTGACTCAGAAAAATGCAGCACCCCCCCTTTTTTTTTTTTTTTTTTTTTTTTTGTAACAACTCCAACAAGTCCAGTAGAATGTTGACTATTTGTGGCCAGTGAATGACAAAGGAATTTATTGCCACCATAACGCGCCAGCAGCTAGCTAGCCTTTTAGCTGTGTTAGGTCCCTTATCTTTGAATCGCCTCATTCATTTTGATATTTTTATTGAATGTATCTTTCACATGGTTTCTTTTTTAACCCCCAGTAATTGCAGTCGTAGTTATTGCCACCACATGCAAGAACTCAGAGCATGAACGAGCCAGTCATCTTCCTTTTATCTTCGAATGGCTTCGTTAATTTATATCTTATTTATTTAGACGTTTTCACCACAACACCCAAGTGCAGTAGGACGCCAATGTTATGGCAATTTGGCTTCCTATTACGTAGTTTAGACAAGACAATGTGTGTTTGGTGTAATGACTTTTTATTTGGGGTGCTTTTACTTTGTCGAGCCTTCCCAATTTGTCTCGCTGATAGTTTGAAGGCGTCAACCGGAAGTTCCGCATCTCCCTTGGCGCCACCTTGACAGCCGAAAAGTCACCAGAAGAAGAAGAAGTAGACGGAGACGACGAGGCGAGCGGTGGGAGCAAGACTGAAACAAAAGTTGCAGTCGCAGCCTCATGCTTGGAGCAGGGCGCTTCTCCTCCTCTTGCCCGTTGTCCCCCACACCGTGACACTTTTATCGGCTTCATATTTTCGTCACCAAGCACGCAGAAAAGCGAGAGGGCCAAATCATGGAGCTTTACTGCATGGAGTCGGTGGCGGAGGTGAAAGCCCCGGTGGACCCGAACATCCTCCACGATGACCGGGTCTTGCAAACCCTGCTGACCGTGGAGGACCGCTTCTTACCGCAGTGCTCCTACTTCCAGCGGGTCCAGAAGGATATTAAGCCGTACATGAGGCGAATCGTCGCGGGTTGGATGCTCGAGGTCGGTAGCTCGGTTTTTCCTCCGATGCTAACGCTGGCTAATTTTGCGCTTTTTTGGCGGGGGGGGTCACAATTGCAGGATTTTGCCACGCGTTTACACGCCCGAGGTGGATGTTTTTCTAGCGGAGTTGTCCGACAATTGTGTGGAGATGAGTCACCAAAAGGCGTGGGAGAGTCGGAAATTCCACGACGAAGACAATTCAGCTTCGTAAAGACGTAGCCTAGCTTGATATTTACTTGTGCTAGTGGTGTTAAACTGGTCTAATTTCGTCGAATAGTTTGGCCGAACGACACCCGACAACTTGATTCTAATTTACAGCTGCATAAAAAGCAACTTTGCTCACCGCACGAATTTTTGCGATTTTTTTAAAAACTGCTCAAGCACAAGCAAGGCAGGCAGCATGGCGAACTGGAACTTTTCGTCGTGTGTGTGCAAAGTAAGCCTAAAGTAAGCATTGTCCAACAACCAGATCTCGGCCGGTCGCCCAATTACTTCCTTTTGCATTTCTGCATCTGAAAACACCCAAATAAGTTGTTTTACTTGCTACTTGCACAAAGTAGCGGCATTTTTTTTCCGGGCTAAAATGCACTCTCTTGTGTGTCACCACCCCTAACTCCCTTTCCAGGTGTGTGAGGCCGAGAGGAGTGAAGAGGACATCTTCCCACTGGCCATCAATTATTTGGACAGATTCCTTGCCGTGATGCCCACCAGGAAGGATTATCTGCAGCTGCTGGGTGCCGTGTGCATGTTCTTGGCCTCCAAACTGAAGGACAGCAGGCCCATCTCCGCCGAGAAGCTGTGCATGTACACGGACAACTCCATCTCACCACTGGAGCTGCTGGTAAGACGAGGTCTCAAAGCACGAGGGCCTCACATTCTAGTGCTAATGGCGGAGTTGGTTTCACAGGAAGCTTCCATTTCTCCCATCCCCGGAGAGGAGTGCGATGCCATCTAGTGTTCACACCGAACCCCCCTGGAAATTGAGTCATTTTCAAGTTGCGCCAGAGGAAAGAAACGAAACACAAGACCTCAGTAATGAGCGAGTCGTTCTAAAAGTAGATGTTGATTTGCGAAGTCATTCGGCCTTCATGTTTGACATGTTGCTGTGGCGGTGCGCCATATTCCTAGATACCCTAACAGGATGGGCAGAGGAAAACGGCAGTGGCTCTTGAGCTGGAAGAGTGGGAGGGGGGGAGGACATCTGTCCAGGAAGTGAGCGCATGGACTGCGAAGCTCAGAATGGCCTCCATGGGGGGATAAATGGTGTTAAATGCTAGCATGTGTGCGGCTGCTGTCAATCATTTGCTTGTACCAGCTGGTCCAATTGTAATGGGTCGAAACATAACTTAAGCCGGTGTGATAGAGCAACGATTGAAGTACACCATTTTGGACGTCTGCCGCCCCAAGTGACAAAATCCTGCTCACTTCAAAGCGCACCGATGCAAATATTAGCCCTTGAGAACAGGAAGTCCCATTTATCTGCCCCACCCTCGCTTATCTGCTGACTTATAAGAATGTATGTGCATTAGAACAAAAAGTATGGGTCAAGTCAAACGACAGTTATTGCACAGAAGTGTTTGACGAAAATGTGCTTTTGTAATGTTTTTTTTTTTTTTTTTTTTGCCGAGTCAGATTCCTGCTCAGCTGTCATAAGTGCAAGCATGATCAACGTGTCCATATCTCAATGCTGGCAGCTAAAGTATATGAATGAAATGAATGATTCTAAAGACCACGTTCACCGCCCTGCCTCAAATAGCAAAAACCGAGCGCGTCACATGCCAACGCCGCCGTGCACACAAAGGATGTGAGGAATGAGAAATGGCGCACAAGATAAGATAAAAGTCCGCCAGGTGGTAAAGGGAATCGAGTGTGTGCGGACATTTCGGACCGATGGAAGGCTGGATGGGAGACGTTAACGTGGAATTTCCCACATTCAAGCTAGCGCACCTAGAAGACGCGGTGTTAAGTCGCACGTTGAGCTACTTCAACGAGAAGGAGTCAATGCGAAGCCCGCCTATTCCAACGCACTCTCTGAATGCAACGCGAATGGATTTGAATACCGAAACATGTCGAAGCTTAACCTTTAGAGACTAAATTGGCCATTTTGATTCAAAAGGATCATTTTCCATTGTAACATTGGCTCAGTACTCCAGTTTTCCTTAGCGACCTGAAATTTCTTCACCGTAGCAAGTCAATCTCTGCGGAGGAAAAAAGGTCTCAGGGAAGCCATGCCTGAAAAGACGTTTGCCCGGCGTTTTATTTCATGTCATTGGCAAGTGTTCCCATACAAGACAAATGTATTGATTGGACGTCGTCGCTGTCGTCTGTTTTGAGAACTGGGAGGTGGTGGTGCTGGGCAAGTTGAGGTGGAACATGGCGGCCGTCATCCCCAACGACTTTTTGGAGCACATCATGCGCCGGCTGCCCCTCCCCGAAGACAAGGTGCCGATGATCCGCAAGCACACGCAGACCTTCATCGCCTTGTGCGCGACAGGTAAAGGCGCCATTCTCCGGCCGCAGCCCTCGGCCGCATTCCCGCGGACACACGCCCGGCATTCTCCCGCCGTGACTCATCGGTGACGCATGTGACCCATTTTCGAGCCGCCTTATCCCACGTGGATGACTTGTGCGCCGCGGGCCCGGAAATCGCGGCATCAATCACGCCGTCCCCCTCCTCTTCCTCGCGCCATATTGTGTGTTGACAGGGGAAGCCTTCAGGTCGAAACGTCAGGGCGACGATCCTGTGATCTTCCTTCCTCCCGACCTGCCGTCCAAAATAACCCCCCCACCCCCCCCTCCCCGTGGGCCTCGTCTCCTGACAATCCCCGCTAAATATTTTCATATCCTGGCCCGCGTTGAACGAGGCCTCGCTGGTTTTATCTGCCGCCGCCTCCCTGCGAATTCAATGGCAGGAAACAAGTAGCGGAGGAGGTGACTTTGGTGCAATAAAAGCACAATAAGCTCTTTATCGCCGCTCTTATTTGGCCTTTAGTTCGTCCCACACTTGCTGACACAGTTGTGTTACTACTCAGGCCTTTGCTGGGTTCTTCCAACCAGTTAAGTTCTGGATATTCTTCCATGCACTGTTTAGTGTTTTTTTTTTTTTTTTTTTCTCCAGGATCTCTTGTCACAGAAGCGATCATTAAAAAGGGGAATAACTAGACTGTCGGCGTGCATGTGATTTCTTCCACGGCCACGTGAAGCTCTTCAAATTCGTGTGGGGCCATCTTGTTCCCTCCTGTAGTTTGGAGACTTTTTTTAGTTTAGTTTTGTGATATTTTGGCCTGGAAACCAAATGCTGTTGAATAATTTTTGGACTTGAGCATCCTACTCGTTCGGCCATTGATTAATTGAGTCGTCGGCTAAAAATGGCATTTGCCACCCACGTGCACGTGCTGTTGTATAGCTTGAAAAAGAATGACGTGGGTGTCAAATTGGTATGAATTTTTTTTTCTCCTGGTTTGCCACCATTGCAGCATCTTATTTTGTCGGGTTTTTTTTTTTGATGATCCAATTTTTCGAGTGAATTTGATTAATTGTCCCCCCCAGCATTATGCGGCACATTTTCCCGTCATTTTGACTCGCGGTCCGTTCCGGCTCAGGCATCCAGACGGGGACTACAGGGAGTCGTTGAAGACGAGTAGGAGGATTCCTGCTCTGCTTTTCCAATCACTTTTTCCTCCGAGGGGGGGGGGGGGAACACAATTTGAAATTCAGAGCCTGGGAAAAAGCGGAGTCGAGGAGCACTCACACGTGTTTACCAGACGCCGATCGCCTTCTCTTCCTTAGATGACGGTCTTGCCATGAACCCCCCCTCCATGATCGCCAGCGGCAGCATGGGGGCCGCCGTCTGTGGCCTGCAGCTGGACCACAAGGACAAGAGGCTGACGAGAGACAACCTGACGGACCTGCTGGCCAAGATCACCAACGCAGAAGTAGTGAGTGTGAAACCGCCGCTGACATGCAAGCGCTTTTGTCCTCGCCGCCGCCGCTTCTGCTATAAAGAGCATCGGCGGCCCACATTCTTGCGGTCGCACACATGCAATTTCTGCTCTCCCACTGGAGCGCTCGGGCCCCTCCCGGTGGACAAGCACTTCCGTCTTTTGAGAGGATGCTTTTCTCAAAAATACATCTGATTACCTAGTGAAAATTGTTAACTTAGTAGTTGAATTGCCAAAGTCATATTTGACTGTTTTTTTTTTTTAAAAAAAGGGGGTGGGGCACACAATTTTGAGCAGGCACGTTGGTGTTTTGAATGGATTTGGTGAGAGGAAGTTCAAGATGGCGAACATTATTCTGGGTCATAAATGTCTTTGTAAGTCAGCAGTTGCTTTTCTGCCTCTCCGGTGATCCATCATGGCACTTTTTAACAAGATGGCGTTGCAGTAGCAGCCCCAAGCGTGTGTGCTTTGATGGTGTGGCGCCCCTGCCAGCCGCCCGGCAGCGAGCCACCCGCCGACCTCCCACGTCTACACGCAGACCTGCTGGATGCGCCGACAATTTATTTTGTCGTTTATTTCATGTCTATATTTTTTTACAAAATGGCACTCGCAAGTATTGCGCTTGAGAAAAACCCGCAGTCAGTACGTCATTGAATCAAATGTCAAGAATTAAACGGTGCGTCCTGATAATTATTTGGCCACCAGGCGGCAGTATAATGCAAACATACATACAGACAGACAGACAGACACAAAGAACTGAAATTCTGACATTGACCGGAGGGTGCGCGTGTGTTTCCAGGAATGTTTGCGAGCGTGCCAGGAGCAGATCGAGCGCGTCCTGGCCGCCAGCCTGCAACAGGACAACCGAACGGGCGGCGCAAACGCCGGCAACAAGTCGCAGGAGCAGCAGCAGGACCAGTCCAGCACCCCCACCGACGTGCGCGACGTCAACTTATGAAGCCCCGGTGGGCCCCTTCCACAAACGGCCACGGCCTGACAATCCAAGAATTTCTCGCCGCTAAGAAATTCCGAGTTTTTCCTCCTTTTTCTGGTTTGTTTGCCTTCGAACGTATTTTGTACGTGCCGCATGTTATCAAACAAGGTATTTAAGGATCTTGATACTTGATAGTGCCTTAGGTGTGTCCCCCACTCCCTCGCTGAACGGAAGCCTGAATATATTTTCATACTTGAAGAGAAATAGCTTATTATATTCTTTTGATGGCGACGAAACATTTTTTTTTTCTTGTATAGTTAGCTAGTACTAATTATGTTACTCCTGTAGCCTCTTAGCAGTTATTCAATTTAATTGGTGGTTCCACTAGCCGTTGGCGTTAGCTGCTAGCCGTTGGCGTTAGCCGCTAGCTGTGGTCGCCGACACCTGTAGTGCTGCTGGGGGCGGGGTGGTGCGTAAAAGGAGGAGTGGGCTGGGTCCACTCACACAGGAAGTGGCAAGGATGCTGAAAGGCGGCGGTGAGAACGAGTCGGGATTTCGCGGAGGTTGCGAGTGGGACAGACGCAGGTGTTGGTCAAGAACCGGGAATGTAAGCTAGGTTACTTTTTTTTTTTGTTTGTTTTTTTTTTTTTTTTTGTTCTTGTAAGAAACAAACCAAGCCAGCGGGGAGGGATTGAGGAGTTTCCGGGATTCTGTTTAAGCGTTGCTCTGCCAAAGTACTTTTGGGCTCATGGAGCGAGGCGTGACATAGGAACAATGTTGATGCACTTTTGGAAGAAAAAAAAAAAGACACGTGGTCAAGGAGTGATCATTTTAGTGAGTAGGGTCTTTCTTTTTCTTTTTTTTTTCTTTTTTTTAAGTTATTTTTTTTTAGGGCTGGATTCCCACACGGGGTGATGAAAGCTGGTGATTGAATCTACGTAGACCAAGAAAAGACCATGTGCATACCTTTTTTTTTTTTTTTTTTTTTTTTTAATTTGCTTGTGTTTTATTTAATTGTACTTGAATTCTCATAGGCAAACCTTCCTTTCTAATTATTCCAGAGCTGAATATTGCGTGTTTGCATTCAAGTCTAGGAAGTTTTTTCGTCATTTGCGCTGCGTGCGTGTGTTTTGGAGGCTTTCACAGTGTGAAAGTTAAAACTGTGTATATAAAATTAAGTAAAAGCTAACACATGTTCTCTCCTCACGCGCACATTTTGAGTGGTAATTTTCACCAAGCAAAAAGTTTGCAAAAAGAAAAAATATATATATATGAAATGTGTCAAAGAGTTGAAGAGCTCATTCCAAAGCGAGAACACAAGTTGACAGATGTCATTTCTCTTTGCTGCTACAAAAAAAGATATTTTTCCTCCCCTTCTCTTTCGCTCATCTTAAAAACAATTAAATTGTGATTCACTCGTTTGCTGCTATTATATGATTTTGTTATTGTGTATACCTTACAAGTCTAGCTTTTTTTTTGTTGTCCTTTTTTGTGAGTGTACTGGAGGGATCGCCACAGATTGGTGCGGGACTGGAAGTGCTCGTCTTTATGATTTTGTGTATCATCAATTGTACTCTTGCTGCTTCCTTGTAATTTGTGTACCTCAGGTTAATTTGGACGGATTGAGCGTTACCTCATCACACTTCACACACTTCTTTTTTTTTTGTTTGTTTTTCTCGAAGGGAGGATGTTTTCATTGACGAATCAGATCCCACTGTGCTATAAATGGCTAAGAAAAGAAAAAAAACATTTCATGTGTGTGGTGCTGATCCAAACACGTCCTGTACCTTGTATTCATGGATCAACAAAAGACCAAAGTTCAGAGTTGGTGTATTTTAGATTTCAGTGGAATTGTCTTTTACTTTTGAGGTACCACCAGAATGTTTGGTGTGGTTTTGATCGCCCCCCCCCTCCTTTCCGCCCCCATTTTGTTCCTACACAGTGTACCTCAACATTTTCTCAATAAATTGGCGAAAATCACCCGACCAGGACTTTTTAATTCGCCCCGTCGTTACCTTTTATTGCCACCAGACGGCGATAGAAAATACATTCGCCCTCAATTTAATCTTCCTCGGGGAGGGAGTTTGTTTTCAGAATGAATATTGATGTCACTGATAGGCTTTTGAACGATCTGGTGGGAACCAAAGCAGTCATCATGACAGGTCGCCAGGTGGCGCGAGTGAGCAAAAGCGCCGCTCAACAACCAGAAGAGTCTCGCGAGTGAGTCGGAGTCAGGCGTGCGGGTGGAGATGAATCAAGTGCAGGTCCGGCAAGATGGCCACGGCGCGCGTCTTTTTCTCAGTTAAGTGAGCACGCACGCACGCGTGCAAGTGTGTTTTTGTTGCTCTTTCTCACCGTGACGTTTTGGATGTTGTAGGATTGGAGCACTGGAGGGACGCAGCAGCAGCGTTTGAGGTTTGAGCGCAACACGCCACAACAATCCACTTCCGTTTGCTTGATTGAGGTACACCTCGCGGCTAGTGTTGGACATAGTGAAGCCCCGTGAATAAATGACATTGTCTCTCATGTATCAGCCAATGGTTTATTACTCGATGTTTCATTCATATATGAACTCTTTAAGGGCTCCTGCCGCACTGTCGTATAGGTGCTCGATTGATACATGTTCGTAAAGTAGTGCTGCTGGTGCACGCGTCCTTTCGAGGAATAACCACTTCCACTGAACGAGTTTCCTTGGGCAATTTATTTGGTCCCACCGCGAACAAACGCATTAAAAGCATTGTTTTCGAATGAAATGTGCAAGCGTGGAAAATTTCACAAAATTACAATTCGGGGGAAATATTCCAACAACTGTTTGTTTGGGCAGCTGCGGGTGCAAAAGATGTGATTGGTGGAAAACATCCAAGGTCGCTTGTGTTGCCGTCGGGCTTCTTAGGGAAGTGTCAGATTTATGAATATTTACATCCTATTTACATGTCTGTCTGCCTTGCATGTCAGGGAGAATGTTTGCTTCATTTTGGCACGCCGCCATCATTTGTTTGTCAGCTGTTAGAACAGTGGTAGGGAGAGGTCGAGTTCTCCCTACTCCAAAACACCCGATTCACTTGATCATGATCGTTTCAGGCTTCTACAGAGCTTGCTGATCAGCTGATCGTTTGAATAGGGAAGGATCGAAAACGGGCAGCAGAGAGCTCCCGACCTCTGGGTTAGAATATTCCGTGACTGCGACAGTCGAGTTCCCCCAAACAAACTCCTCAATTATCCTTCAACGTGACACTCACTGCAGAGGAAAATATAATAATACACTGGAAAACTGCGTACACTTACGATAACTTAAATAACATATTTATGGGTACTATAAGTTTAACTTTCGTCAGAATTTCTTCTCCGGTCCTTGCCGAGAAATGTTCATGACTAAAATACACAAAAGCTTGATGACAATTCAACTAAATGTCAACATGTAGGCACCCTGTGTGGGGTGATGGTGATGATTTTATGGCTGTACACGATAATGCATTTGTGACCAACATGTGCAAAAAGGGCGCTTCAAGGCGGAGAAAAAAAAAAGTTTTTTGTTTGTTTTTTTTAATGCTGCTGTTACTGTGCCGGCAGTCATTCACTCACTGACTGACTGACGTGTGCGCACGGTGGCTTCGGGTCGCGCCGCGCGGGCTGGAATTAGTGTCGGTGGAATGGACGCTCCACGGGTCGTGGGCCGGCGGCTCGCGGAGCGCCTCCCGGGACGCGTTGGCGCCGTCGTCGGCGGGCTCCAGCTCCAGCTCGGCGTCGTCCTCCGGCACGGGCCGGGAGTCGGAGCCTTCCCCGGCGGGGGTGGAGGAGGAGGGCCGGTTTCGCCTCTCCCGGTGCAGCAGGAGGCGCTCCAGGGGCACCGTGCTGCTCTTGGGCAGGAAGAGGGCGGTGCGCGGCAGGTTGTGGCCGGCGACGAACACCTGCCGGGAGCCCTCAAGGTTGAGCAGGATGCCGGTTCGGATGGAGTAGAAGACGTCGCGGTTGTTCTCCAGGAGTCTGTGCTCGAACACGCAGTCGTCGCGCAGACACACGGCCTGCATGCATGGGAGAGAAAAAGCGCCCGGCTGCAGCACGTGACTTCAATTCACGCAGTCCTCTTCGCCAGAACTCAAGTTGAACGCGGATCACACCTTTGGACGCATTCCTTCCTGCCTCGTGCTCTACCTTACCGGAATCGTGGATGGTTGAAACCCCGAAATTGTAAGCCAACCCAGAGGTCGAAATCCTACTTTCAAACCTGAAATTGAACCCCGAAGGCAATTTGGAAACCGTGATCTCCGCTTTAAACCCGGGAATGAAACCTCAACCCAGGCTCGAAACCCTGACCATACTTGAACCAACTTGGAAAACCTTCACCCAATTGGTGCCCCCCTCCCCTCAGACGGCCACTTCCCCATTGGCCTTGACCTGCGAACGCCCCTCCTTCAACATCATTTCTCAACCCCTCAATACTTCCAATGTCTATTAGCCTCCATGTGTATGCATGTTACACACGTATGTATGCAATTGTTTTAAACCGCTGGAATGTACTTTTAAAAATTCTTCCCAGTTGTATAAGTTTAATTTTCAAAGTTTTTCCTGTGTTTACATTTCGCCCCGCTTGTCTAATTTGTCACTTGTCGTTAGCTTCGATTTCCTTGATTGCAACATATTCATTAAATACCTGAACAAGTTCATGAATTAATAGTTGTCGTTCTCTTACAAAAAAAAAAGAGGGAGGCTTAAATGGCACGAAACTTTGTGCGAAAAGAACAGGACGACTGTGACGAAGATGCACGCTTCGAATGAGGAGGATGAAGTGACTCACTGAGGTGAAGGGGGTTCCCTCCGGGTCCAAACACAGGTAGCGGCTGCTTTTCACGCCGAGGATGGCGACGCGCTCCCTGCTGTCCGCCTTCAGCATGATGACGCCTGCGCCAAGGCAGCAACATCAACAGCGGCAGGACGACAAAACGCGGAGGAGAGACGGACACGCGACGCGTACTGTACGGATTTCTGCTGGCGCTTCCCCGCACGGTGCCGTCCAGCTTGATCTCCAGGTAGAAGTTGCTGAGCTCCGTGGAGGTCTGCAGGTGCACGTACCTCCGCGGGCTGCCCCAGTTGGAGCCCACCAGGGGCGACTGGTTGGGCGCCGCGCAGCCGCCGGGGACGCCCTGCAGGAGGGCGAGGGCGAGCATCCAGGTCGGCACGCTTCGCCGGCGGCGACGGCGGCGTTGCGGGTCCTCCATTCCCGAGCGGAGAGCTGCCACGAGGCCCATGCTGCGAGTTGTCTGGAGACGGGCTGCCAGACGGATGCTTTTTAAAGGACCCCCGCGCCACCCTTGCTCGCATCCGTCCACCAACGCAGATGTGCGGCTTTGCAGCGGCGGAAGGGCCACTTCCACCTGGGCGTGTTTAGACCCGCGGCCCGGGCCACCGCACTTGTTGCTGGTGCTCTTTTTTTGGGGAGGCGTTGTTATTTTTTCGACTCTTGCCTGCCCACCTCACACAGAAAATGTCTTCCGGTGGCTAAATAAACAAACACAAGCTACAATTTGAAGTATGATTTCATTTGCTGTTAGAAAAAAAAAAGAAAGAAAGATTCGACGTACCTGACCAACACTTGCTCTGGTTAGCCAGCAGATGGCGCCCTTCTTGAACTCAGCTACACCGTAAAAAAGTTATATCAAAATATAATTTCAGAGTAATCCAACTCTTGTATTGGTTCTCATGGCGCTGTTGCTGACGTTCGGGTCGAGTTAGTCAGGACTACTGCCCGAATACAGCTGGGCTGGGCTCCAGTGCACACGCGACCTTTGTGAGGATTTGCGGATCTGATGATGGATGGATGGATAGACAATATGTTAACCCGAACTTTATTTCAGCTTTTTGAATCCTTCGTATCTTTTTTTAAAATGAATTGAAATGAGGTGTGAGTGTGAGTCGCCTGAGTCGACACTGGGGGCAGCAGTGAGTTGTTCCAAAGTTTTTATTATCTGAGGAATACTGTACAGTGGACTGCTGTGCACAGCACATGCGTACAAAAATAAGACTCCAACTTGCTTTGCTTTCTCGACGGTCAATGTTTTTTTTTCCCCTAATTTTATTTTTTTTTTAAGCGACAATCAAACCAAGGCAGCAGGTAGAGGCGCACAAGCAAACAGTACTGTGTAAGTCCGGCATACGAGTACAAATTTGTACTGGCAAAGCATCACTCTTTTCGATCCAGATTATTTTATTGATGGCATTTTAATTACGCAGTCAATAAGTCACAAATAAGTTGCCGCTGGAGATAGTAGAAGGGCTGGAAGAGAGCTCGAGGTGAAAAGAGGTGGGTGGGCGCTGCTGATGAATGCATTTAGTTTGCAGCCTAAACACCCTGCAGTAAAAACAAAATTGGGGAAAAAATAGAAGGGCAGTGGAGTTTGGCAAAGGATGAGTTTGTCGCCTCTATTGCTAGCAGAATTAAGTCAGACTCAAGACTGTTGCCTAAATGGGCTGCTGTGTGAATTCAAACAGGAAGTAGATAGAGGAACAGTCAGTCATATTGGGGTATACAGTCCCATGACGCCTCGACAGGCTGCTGCTTAAACAGGAGAGTGGCGCTCGGCGAAGGACCGTTTAGTGTGAACAATTTTTTTGCTACTAGAATTAATTCAGACCCAACTATATGTTGCCTAAACAAGCTGCTGTGTGAAGCAAAAGAAATACACAGCAGTATGGCGCAAGACCATTTTGGACACAGACTTTTGTTGTGAATATTGCAATACTGCGAGAACAATTATTCCAGACCCGAGTTAGCGCAGGGACACAAAAAAAAAAATTGATGACTTGATCACCTTTCCGCATTGTCCTTTACTGCATCCTGCATGCGAAAGCTGCTGGCTGCTACTGCGGTATACACACACACACACACGCACACACACATTGGGGGAAAAGGCCAAGGGCACATGCTTTCTCACCACCTCACACACTCACACAAACATTGAGGCGACATCTTGAAATTTGATGACGTGTCTCCTAATGTAAAAAGCTCCTGAATTCATTTGTAACTTTGCACTATTTCCACATTGTGTGTGTTTTTGTTCATTGGACATCACATACAACAGCGGCTGCTACCTGTATGTGCGCTAACATTTGAGCAACGTATTTTATACAGTGGACCCCCCCAAAGTCCCAACACACCCCTGAAATGGTGTTCAGTACGAGTTTATAGACACAAACTCGTTTTGCCGAGCAGATGCTAACAAAATTAGCACGGAGCCAACCGCATCATGACACAGCATGGAATTTAGCCCAATTTGGTTGTGTGACTACATGGAGAGCGTAGTCTGTTTTTTAATTATGATGATTATTATTATTGCTCAGGGTGACACCTGGATTTTGGCCTGTTTAACTGCCATTTCTCCTCTCCCGCTCGCTAAAAGGTTGAGGTGAGACGGATAAAGGCCCCCCCATGGGACATAGCTTTAAAGTTAGACCAACTTGGAAGTCAACCAGTGTCCGAGATTGTGTTGGAGTTTTGAGGTCCCACTCCGTTTGCATTTAATTTACAGTACAGAGGTCTCACTCTGCTTTTTATTGGGCACCCCTTTGATTGTAAATGACTTAATCGATCTAATTGCAGCGCAAAGACCCAGAGGTCGTCTCCCTTTGACTACCCCCCGCCCTCCCCCTTACTCGAGGGCCGCTCCTGTTCGTCATTCCTATTTTTTGCCTCACCCGAGTGTCTCTTACATGCAAGTTCAAGGGGGCCTTGAGTGGGAGCGCCAAGGCACCTTTTTAAATCATACAGCAAAAGGAGTGCATTTAAAGTCACTCGTGCGCGCACACGAGCCTGTTCCATGGATCCTTAACCTCGAACTTGGTGCTTTGAGGTAAATAAGGACCATTTTAAGCACATGTGCTCATCCCCCGTGTCCGCAATGTACACTATATGGACGATGGGTGCCTTGAGGTACAAGTTCAATTTGTTCCGTTGCCACGCTTGTAGCTTACTTTTCAAGCGTGCTATGATATTGTACATTATGAAAACAAATGATCGTCAAAGTTGAAAAATGAAATGTTTTTTGCCACAGTTCATGGACATTGTGTTGCTCCGTTTGGTGTGTGTGCCTTGGCCACTTGGGGGCAGTATAATATAGACAGATATACATGGACAGTTACCGTCGCTCAGTAAGCTGCAGTAATGTTTTTCTTTCCAGAGGATTACGAATATATGCCGTGAACGTTATTTTATTATCGGTCCACATGTGCTGCTTCACAGTTTGTGGTAAAATATCCAGGTTTAGCCTGTCTATGGCGTTTTGCATTGTTGCGAACAGGACTAAGCAAAGGAGTCTTACAGCTCATTTTCATAACACAAAGTGTTGACCGTGAACTGGAAGTGGGAGTGGAAACCAAGTTTCTCCTTGCAAGTCAAAGCAAAAAAACAAAAAAAAAAAAAAAGTCCAAACGGCATCTCGTATTGCGAAAAACGCCTTCTATCTCAAGGCACCACTGTATTGCGTAGGAAGTGACTTTTGTGTGAAGGGAATTTTTGTGCACAGCAAATCCATCCAAGCATGCTTTCATGTTTTGTGCCCTGTTCCCAGAGTTTGGACAGATTTATCAATAAAGTGATTGAGAGGCGTGTCCATATAGTGTAAATGTGCAAGCACCAAGTGAGAGTGGCAAAGGCCCCGAAATCAGCACAGTATGGCATACATATACAAAGATAGCTCTCCAAATATACACGTATATATTCGTATGATAACACAATCAACATCTGCGCAGTTCATTGGCGTCGTTTTACCTGGAAGAAAAAAAATAAAAAATAAAAATCAGCATGTGCAAACGTCGGTGTCGGCGGGGTCAGTCACAACCGAGGGAGGAAGTGGGTGCCGGTGGCGGCGGTGCTGGCCTTGTCGCCTCGCCGCGGCCGCCCGTGCCGGCTGAGGGCCACATAGAAGCCCTTGTAAACAAAAGACTCGTAGGCGTTGTAGTTGTTGGCCAGCAGCGTCTCCCTGAACTTGCACTCGTCACCAAAGAGCCTCTAGAAAAATAAAATAAAATTCCATATGAGCAGATTGAAAGAACGCTGATCTAAACACACCACAGCATGATTGAGTCAACCGTCCAAATATTTTTGAACTCAAAATTAAGGCCATATTCTTGCAAACAGACGCGTGGACCAAAGGTTCTTGTTGGTCGTCTTGAAGTCAGGGAATGAGGTCATCTTTGGATCTCTGTGGGGGGGTCAAGGCTGCTTGCAAAATCACTCTCAAACTTAGACAAGTTGCCATCGACACGGACATGCGCAGAAATGTCCATCCTGCCACGTTTGACAAGTTTGAAATGTGAAGTGACTTATTGTAGGCTGTGGACTGCAATCTATTTTCAATTTGTAATTCATCAAGTCATGCAACGATAAATAAGAGTCACATGAGTTTGGATTTAGGGGGGAATTTGATTAGTTTTGGCGCAGTTGTATACACGTATTGGGGGCTTTAACTAACGCGCGGGCACACGCTTACCGTGGCGTACAGCCTCCCCCTGCGGCTCATGGCCACGAACATCTCGCTCTTGACACCGAACAGGCTGACCACTCCTCGCTCCACGCTGGAAATCTCGATGAGACCTGGAGAAGAGCGCCTTTGCATCATCATCATCATCATTTTCTTCATCTTCATTGTGATCGGGATGAGTGGCAGGTGCAGCGGCTGCGCACCGCGCTCGCAAAGCCCTGACGCGGGAGCGGAAGCCAACTCACTGTGCGGATCCTCGAGGTGTGCGCCGGCGATCCTGCCGTCCGGAAGCACCTGCAGGTGGAAACCGATGCCCACGTTGCAGTAGAGGCGGCGCACTCGCTTGACGCCCCGCAGGTAGTCGCTCTGCCAGTCGGGCTGCAGCGGCCCCCTGCCCGCGAGGCCCAGATAGGAGCGCGAGAACAGCGTCTCCCAGCGCCTCTCCACCTCAGTGCCGTTGGCCC